ATCATCATACATGTAAAATGTCAATAGAAATATTTGGTTAACATTTGTATTGCTTCAAATGTTGATGACAGACTGAAAAATAAATTTCCTACCCTCAGAATATAAAACTTCAAAGGATACACATTGTTTTTAATTTTCAAGGTTTGTAACAGTGTTAAAAATTATTTAAATGTTTCTCATACCTAGCCGAACAAGAGTCAAAATATTTTGAAAATGTTTGAATGTATGGACAATTTTCATAGAGCTTCTGGTGACAATTTAAAGTATCTATCTATGGTTATTAGTTTTTCAGTCATACGAAAATAATTTGATTTTGTGAAAACTGATTTTTTCTTTCTGTTTTTTTATACAAACAATTTCTATTTTTTTATGTTTAAGCCTTTAAACTCTCTAAAATACTTTATGGATAGTACAAGTTGTTTGATTTTTTACATCAGCATCTTTTCTGATAGGAATGAGAATCTAGAGTTGGTACCTTTTTTTTTGGGGGGGGGGGGGTGAATAGTTTGGTAAATAGTTATAAATGCTTAGTAAATATTAAAAAGGAATGAATAGCAAAACAAAAAAAAAATAAAGGAAAAATGATATTTTTAAGCCAAATAGGTTTTTGAAAAAATAAATTTTGTTTTTTGGTATCACTCTAAACATGAAATAATCATAGATGCATGAAATTTTGACTGAATGTTTGTATAAGAATTTTAGCCAAACAATTTTCAAAATATTTTAATTTTTTTGTGTTATATAATTTACATAGGCAAGAGAAAATGTAGATTTTTATATATAAGTGTCGATACAAACATTTCACTTGATCAAAAACATGAAAACTTGACAACAATTTCCTGATAAGTTATTAATTGTGTAGTTTAAAAACTAGTTGAGAGTGAATTCTGTTTTATGAATTACGAATTTTGACAAAGTTCGTCAAAATCAATAAAGACATTTTGCTAAATACTTTGAAAATTATTTTGAGTCAAAAATGCATAAATACTTTTCTTTTGGTATCTGAGACTAGAAAATTAAAAAAAATAAGATTGCTCATAAGTGTATATGAATTTTAAACAAAAAAAATGTGCTTAGAATCCAAAGCCCGTTTTTTAATCACTGATATAAAATATTATTGTACCTCTTTAACACAATAACACACGAAAAACCCAGACGGGTAGTATAGACTTAAGGCGATTGTTTTTCTTTCACTTATATTTTATCAAGTAATGCATAAAATCTAAAAATTTTGAAAACCAAAAAGATTTCTCATGTTTAGAATATATGTTTGATATTTTATGAATAAAAAAACAAATATCATTGGCCTTTGACGCGCACCGAATCTAAATTGTCTCATTAGGCTGTCCAATTTTGTACTGGCCATTTTCCGGTATAAATGCGTATTACCATATTATTATTGGTTATGACAGATTTGTATTATCGTCACAATTCGTACTGTGTATTATAATAAATTAATGAACGAGAAAATTGGACACGGGAAAGTAAACGCACTCACGTCTTAAATTCATCGCCATCATAACCTTCTACAATATAGACGACATCGAATTTAATAAACGGCGTCGGCTCTTCGAGCTGATATTAATTAAATCCAAAAAATGATCAATAGAAGGTACTAAACTGGGTATTACACTAAGGGACCAAACTAGCGTATGCAAATGCAAAATAATAATATTATCAACGCACTTTTCGAAAAACTAAATAAGACATTTCAATACTTAGTAAATATTTGTAATAACGGATATTTAATTATGATCATCATTTAAGAAGTTTTAATTAAATCATTGTTGATGATAATTTTTCATTGAGACGTTGTCGATGGCTAAATTAAGAATACCTGGGCTTCGCATGTATAGGTATACTTCAAAACGTCAGCTTTTGTTCTGTTTACAAATTAATGACTTTATATCGCGCAGTAGTCTCTTTCAAAGCGAGCAGTATCGATGTTGTCTTTTGATTTTGATAGATTATAATTTATAATAATAATATAATATTATCATGATAATGACGATGAAATAAAAAAAGAACACCATCGACGATCATACTATATTTAGGTACTTATTCAATATTATGAAATCCGCCTTAAAAAAAAAAAAAAAAAACATATAAATAATATAATATATTACATTCCTTTATTAATCGATATAGCAGCAATGTTTTAGTAATCAACTGAGCATAAAATATAGTTTGCCATCAAAATGTTTCTGAAAATAAGATTTACAAATCCACGAGTTTTTCCAAAACATATTTTGTACTGCAGGCACTTGTCCCGCACGAGTCCGTAAATTGTATCAACAATATTAATTATTTGTTTTTAATGCCAACTGATTAGAACTAAAGTCGTTTAATTTGTCAGGTCCTCGTGTGCATATCATGTGCAGTGTACATAACAACTATTATATTACTATTATAGTTTTACATCATACTGTGCATTTGACAAAAAACATATTGTATACTATTGTTACTCGATCTATTTTGGCCGATACTATAATTGTTTAAGCCTGAGATTATGTCGTGGTCACAGAATTAACGCTACCTAGGTATATTCTGGGTTGGTGATATCGATATCCTTGTAAGCGTGTGGCGCACGGTTGACATCAAATACAGGTCAAACTTAATTTGTTGTCTGGTGAAATTGGGTGATATTTAGTTTTTATCTTTTTTAGGCTCTGTATGAGAATTCTAAAGATGCCAATATTGTTTTCTATTATCAATACATTTTCTCGATTTTTAAACTTTTTTGGAATACCTACTTTCAGAATAAAAAAAAAAAAATCAACGAATAACAAAAATTATGTATTCAATTTGTAAATCCTATCTTTTTATCAAAAATCGTAAGAATGTACTGGTAACTGATGAATGGATGGATGGATACAACGGAGTTATAATGTGTTCTACTCTTATGTTTAGAAGCCTAAAATCACATCGCAGGGGCACTGAACACATTTATTTTTGTTTCATCACTGACATTTTTGATAATGTGATTAAAATTTTGAAAAAGCACTAAAGTTCAAAGGTACCGACTGTTGAAATAAAATGTCAGTACCTACTACACTATAATTACTTGTGGCGTAATACTACGCTAGACCATAGGTTGATTTCAGAATACTTTTGAACAATTTTGAATAGTTAAATTTGCATTTTTATAAAACGTCATTCAAACTGCTTATACCACACCGCCACTTGTATACGTAAGCGGGGGGGGGGCACTGGTGGCCTTCGAGCCCTTTTTATCTGGCCCTAGTAACATTTTAAAATTACATCATACAATTTTAAAGATTATTGTCTATACTCTCTCTATAAACTATTTAACATACCAATTGAAATGTATATTTCGAATGGCCTTTTTTTTTTGTTGCTTTCTATATGCTCTGGTTATCAAGATATTAATTTTTTTAAATTTGGCACTACAGTATCTTTGGGTTTCCCATCCCCGTATGTAAGTAATAATAATATTATAATGTGTTGTATTTTATTTGAGTATAATGAAATAATATATATTTTATTACAATATAGTTAATACATTTGAAGATAGTATACATGAATCTACTACATAACTTAGACTGTCTCTATTGACAACTTGCAAAATATGTACTTATTCAAGATGTCAAACATAAATTTCGAAAAACCCTGCCATAGCCATTAACTTACCGGTATTTACTGCGATTCATATATAATCGGTACCGATATTCTAACCGAGTAAACCTTCTTGTAATCGCCACATGCATACAAATAATGAATTGCAATATCAACATTTTTATATTTTGTCATTAATCGTGTACATTCACTTTATACACTAGAATCAGTTAATTTAAACTGTCATTGAATTGTTTTTGGAAAACTTAAATAAATCAAAGAATAAAAAAAAATACTCAGAGATATTATACTTTGCATCCAATCGTCGCCTACAATATTGTAGTGCTATCTGTATCAGCCAAAGTAAAAAAGCTGAAAATTGATATTGAAAAAAATATAATACTGATTGATGGTAAACATATTAAAACGGTCAGTAGATGGAATATTTTGGAGTTTTGGCAAGATGTGGGCAGAGGTGTGTGCATTGAACTGTAAATTACGGTTGTCGACGATTGCAAATATTCCATATTTAGTAGATTACTGTCTTGGAAAACGATGACGACGATAATAAAATAATATATAATACGGCCAACTACTTGCCAAGACGTGTCGAATACACAACGTTATTATTATATTTCAATAATTATTACTTAATTGCATACAAATTTCGTTCTTAAATAAATCTAAATGTGTATCCAGGCTTAAACATAAATCATAATAACTCATAATGTTAAAAAAATTAACAATATTATAATATTTTTATCTCCCCTTGACTTGAATGAATAAATACATTTGGTTTTTAGTTATGATTAGGTTATTTAAAATCGACATATTATTTTATTCCTTATTTCATAATAATATTATGAACTTGAACATTTTTTTATAATAATATTAATAAAATATACATATCATTTTAATGTACAAGAATCCAGTTTTTAATATATTATTAATTATTTTTAATTATATAAACTTATACTTTTATGAAATTGTTTATGCTGTTATTCTAAAAATTAAAAACATAAAAAATGATAAATCCATGGTCAGGAAGTTAAAGCAAATGAATATTTTTTGGAAATAATAACATCCTAAGTAGGATACAAATTTCTTTCACTTTTTCCGTATGTCGTTCGTACTAGTAATGTAGTTTTGACAATTTTTCGCGTGTTTTTGATTTTTAATGCTATTTTTTTCTTTTAATCTAAAATAATAATTTGAATTATTGGAAATTTTCGACAACACTTGTATATTGAAGTGAATTATTTTTTTAATAAAATGCATTTACCGCATACCGATCAGCTGGTCCATAATTCCTGAGCAGTAATGTCAGTATATCAACCATTCAATTTTAATATAATACTGTACCAATATAGGTACATACACATATAAATTATGAAAATAAATATTTAATATAAATGAAAAAGAATGTAAACGTTTTATTAAGTTTAATTTGGCATAAGTAGGTAGTTTACATTTTTTAGCTCATACTAATACGTTTTTAAGTGGATATTATTAATGCACTAAAACTACTTTTATTAGTGCAACATATCTGACTAACCCCGTTAAAAGCATAAAATATAATTTGTTTTTTAAACAAATGAATGCGTTGATGGACCTTGAATTCGCAAAACAAATTTTTTTTTCATTAAACTAATCCTTTTCGAAACGATCGTTGTTTGTTGTTCAATGAATATAAATACACAATATCGTTAAAGGTGATAATATCATGGCCTATGATAAAAATTATTTTCATAACATTTGTATAAGTACAAAAAACTAATATCATCGAATACAGGGGTACAATTGCTTGTAATAAGGGTTGAGAATGTAATCCTCTTTAAAAACCCTTAAAATACACCGAAAAAAAATCCCCCCAAAATATACCGCAGTATTATTCATATCCAGTTTTAAACTGAAAAAAAATTATTCTCATTTACTTTTCCATCATTACTCGTAAGCTCAATTTTTAAATCACACGCAACCTTTCGAAAAACTGATATTGATAAATATTTTATATGGGTATTAATCGTTATTTACAAAATTAATTTATTGAAAAAATTCTTAAACAAATATACAAAAAAAAAAAACGGATTTTATTGTTAAACTCCCTGAAAGCCAAAACATGTTTTAAAAAGTTCAAAAAAAAACTTGTTGTGATTAATAAATACACGAAACCATTAATATGGTATTAATATCTAGCCTTTTAAAACAATAATGAATATTAGATAAAAATTCCAGCCCCATTTATATTAATATTCCGGCACCCCGGCCGTCGACGAATCCTCGATTTGGCACTCGTTCGTGCCCTTCCGGATCTTGAAATATCCTCTGTCTCCCCAAGTACTGTTCCACGAGTTCATCATCAGCCAGTACGACACGTTTCGTTCGACTCCCCATCCGATGCACTTAACGGAATGGCCTCCCAAATACGTAGCGTTGGGCGATTTGGAGTAAACACCTGAAATCAATTGACGAATATTATCGAGTTGTCGGTGTTTTTTACCTGTAAATACTTGCGTATTAGAGTACCTAGTGTTTAAGATACCTAACCTTAAGATACTTTTAAAAAAAGCGTTCAACACACCAACACTGTTATTTTTGTGTATGTTTAAGTATTATTGAAAAAGGGAAGGAACTTTAAAACCGTTTTCTAAACGCATTTTATAATGTATTAAGACATTATAATTTTTTGAATTATCCATTTTAGTTTTTTTCTATAAATATCAATACAAAATACTATTCATTCGGTCGAAAAGGTTAAAAACGTAATAGATAAGGTTACTATAGATATTTAAAAAACATTAAAGATATATTATTACGATTTATTTGTATGAGGATTTTAAGTTGGTGTGTTGATAAGACCACGAACATTGGAAAATAGTTTTGTAGTTAAAAATGTATAAAATAATCAATTTATATAGCGAAGGCTTGGAATTAGAAGAATTAGGGTACACGGTTCTGATTAGAAGTTGATACTGTAATTAAAAACGCTTAAACTGGAGATCCAAGTATATATTTTTATCTTTAGTAGTATTCATTACCCGTTAGGGCTCATATGGATAATGGATTGAGCAGAAAGTTATATTTGATTACAAATTATACCTAGTGCATATTTATTTATTTCGAGCACAATTTTGTTGTGATCAGTCGTTTAACATATGACTCAATATCAAAGGTACATTGTTTGATAATGTGGAAAAACAAAAAATTAATACATTCGATGTAATTGTAATATAATTATTATTAAAATACTTGTTTGGTGACCTGTTGGTTATCGAAAAGTTACACCTAATTCGCTTGGATCCTCTCCGATTTGTTTTAGTTTTTTTTTTCTAGATTTCGATCAAAAGTTATTCGTTTGGTCAAACAACTTGAGACAAAGACTTGGTAATATACTTAATGTAAAGTCATAAGACTTATGATGTCTTTATCACAGATATTCAAAAATAATAATGATAACCAGATGCTAATTTTTTTTTTCATCATTTTAAGTTCAAATTCTTAAACAGTTCATCCAAAATTACTCCTTATTATAATACCAAAGTCTCGACTGGAAGTGAAACTTCTGTACAATAATGAACCTTTTCGGGAACCCCATCAAATTATAGTGAAAAATTAGTTTCATTCCATTTAACGAATTTCTCTAAAACGTGATGTTTTTTTTTGCCCACGACACTAATGTTTTAGTGTTGTGTGTGCCAACCAGTTCGGTGCACACAAAAGTTAAATCAAACAGTAACAATAAAGACAGTGTCGTATTCCTAATGATAGGCCAATGACCCAAATGAGCTGAGGCAGCACATTGTAAAATTATAATTAAGCACGTAAGCACCGCGTTAGAAGGGCAGTGTTGGTTCTCCATATCCACCGAGGCCTGTACGTTTTTATAATACGTGTCGTAACGTTGTGATTGTTTTTAAAACAATAAAAGTAATTTAAATATCGCGAATTGTCTATTGTCATCTAAACGTCGTGCGCCATTCGAAAGATGAGTCTAAAGATAATAGTTTTACTGTATTAAACAATGATCGGGTCAATAATAATAATGTTTCTAGATAGTCTACTATCAATACACTATAAAACACCCTAGACCCTAGGCCGTTATCAGGCCAGAACTATTCATCGTACACAATAATAATAGATAGTATGATTGAGTTTAAATTTAACAATTAATTCGATTACGGTGACCCACTCGCTCAATACTCACGACCTCGCCTTTACTTTCCCACCTTTTTTTAGTATCGATCAGTAAAATATTTGAACGCTGATCACTGGTATTTTTTATTTTATCATATGAGTACCAAGTTAAGATATATCTGCAATACTTCATTTAAGGGTTTCGAAAACCAAATGTTTGAAATTATTCTCAAAATGTTAATAAAAAATATTAAGATACTTATCGAGGAAACTTGTTAATGTTAACATTTGATTTATTTGTTTTTGTTTTTATTTATTCTTCAAGAAGTTAATTGGTCCACTATACGTCATGTTCGTGTGTTCCCGGATACCTTGTTAGTTGCCAGGTAACTATTAATATATTATTAAATTTTTATTGTAAAATAATTATCAAAAACCAAATATTAAATGATTGATAAAAATGTAATAGTTCAAGAGAAATTTAAGTTGTTATTACATTAATTCCAAGTATTTTGTACTCCCAGTATAAAACAATTGGGTACAGACTTACAGTAAAATATTATTTAGAGTGCGCAAAAATATTTGTATATATTATGTAATTTAATACTTGAAAAAAAACTATTTGAATACTGTCAATATTAAAACAAATAACTCTACATAATATTATATTTTATTATTATTGGATTTACCTGACTTGTACGATATAAAGTCGGAGTACACATCAAAAGATGACTCGATTGGCCCGTAAGTCATTATATCATTCTGCATGTTTTCGTAGGCCAGGACATATGGCCATCCTTCAACTATAAATGAAAAAAACAAAATATAAAGTGTTTCGAAAATATAGTATTTAAACAATATTATCATTACGGTTATTAAATTATTTAATTAATTTTGGTGATTCGCCAATTAATATATTGCTTACTTCCACTGTTCGCTTTAGTTGTATTAGACAAATATTTTGTTTTTATTACATTCATTCTAATTCCGATTTATGGGATTTTTTTTTTTACACTTGAACAGTTAAATATCATAGTTTCAAATAGATACTTAGAAACAGATAACTTTTTTAAATTTAATTAAATTTTTTGTTTTTACGAACATCCTTATCCTAACGCTTCCACTGTGGTGTATAAGCTTCTGAAGTTCTCCAATGAGAACTGCCCATTTTTCTGTTAATTTGTATTCACATAAAGTAAAATACTTATGGATACAATAAATAAAAGGAGTATACTCAATAAATGAAAACTCGTTATATGACGTGGCTGATTTTAAGTATTTGAAAGTATAATCTTCAAGTATTTTAAAAAATTCCAAAAATTATAATTTGTTAAGACGCATTGTCGAAGAATAATATGGGATGAGTGCGGTTGTTAATTCCCTCTCTGCATAAAAACTGAGCACTTACAAAATTTTCAAATAAAAATTAACTGTCCATCTTTCATACTACAAATAAGTATAATCTGATTTTGAATTGAGCCAATAGCTACTTGTTTTGGGATGTATACTTAGTGAGTCGAATGAAATTGTATGTACAATACTAATCGATGTCCATATTTTAATACTAATTCCGACTTAAAAAAAAATTATCTCCATCTGGAATTTTTCAATAAATTTTTATGCAAAAGTTAACCATCGATCAAAAGCGCAATTTTATTTCTTTTACTTAACATAATTTTATTCAAGGTGCTCTGTGTAAATCGTAAACTAGAGTGAATAAAAAACCCAATAATAATGGCAGATATGGTAATTATTATTAAGGTTCTGAATTTGAAATATTTAAAAATTTAAAATTTGACTTCTCCTGAAATATTTTAATGAAATTATAAAAAATATTTTTTCTTTTAAACGTGTTCGGTTATAGATGATTAACAATACAGATTGTATACAGTAAACATTGATTGTGGATAACTTATAGTTAGCAACTTAAATTTACGATTTACTAAATTATGTTAATGGTTATAACTTATAAATAAAGTTTGTAACTGTACAAATGTATTGGTATAAAATATTAGCTGTATAAATCACATGAGAAAAGTTAAGATTTTAGGTGATTAAAACCAACAATTGGATTCAGTAAAGTAATACAACTCATGTTGTTTTATACTTATTACTTACATATTTATTCAATAATTACAAAGTTATAGAGTTATAACACTTGGCACTATGATACTTTATAAATTAGAGTTGTATAAATATAACATAGTTTTGAGAAATCCAGAGCGGATTTACATGTGAATGTACTAATTTAATAAGTAGTAAACAAAAAAAAAATATCAAACAATTTTTTTTATTAGAATTTTAAAACATGTTACGATGTTGAGTCTGCTCATGTTTTTATAACTTACGAGTTAAAAAGTTATGTTTAAATTTATTATATCATAGATTTGTTAAATGACTTCCGCAGCATATTTAAGTATATTATATTTTTTTCTTTGTTTAATACAATTCACTCATTTTTGAAATATTGACTTGCAAGTTGACGACTATAAGCCTTTAGATTTAAATATATAATATACCTTTTTGTTTTGTTTTTCTTATAAATTGCATTAAATTTAATTTTAAAACAATAGTTGCATCGACGATGGAATAAATGAAATCTGAAGTTCCCAACCTGTATATGTATTATCTCACGAAAGTCATAAAAATGATGTGAAAGATAACACGTAGTCCCGTAGTCGTTTCCATCGTGGGTACTTATATTATAATTTATTTTATATTCTACTCAAAATATTCCTAAAACTAAATTAGTATATTTTTGGTTTCCGACCGCGTACTCAATAAAGATATACTTCTCGTTTGTGACCGGAACTCAATTAGTATATTATTTATTTGTCACTCAGGTATTGAGACTCGATTATTATACGACGGTTTTGTATTGTATTTCGTGAGATAATTCAATATATTTTATGGCTGGTAATACCAGGGTCTTAAAATTGTATGAAACATTTCATGACATTTTCAATAAATGCTTAATTTCTATAAAAAAAAAAAAATTGTATAACATATTATATGTCTAAAAGTTTATAGTGGTCAATTTTCAAGAGAACATTTTTAAAAGTTGTTTTATTGTATGAAACAAACAAAATATGTATCATATTTACATATAAAATATAATAATAATATAATTTATAATAAATGTTTAATGTTTATATTGTTTATAACCATTAATATATTATAGTAATGTGTAAACCTTAGTTGATAACTGATAAGTTATTTATTATCAATGTTGCCTACGTACAATCAATAAACTTTTTCTAATCAACTATAACCGAACACATTTAAAAGAGAACAAAATATTTTTAGTAATTTCATTGAAATATTTTAAGAAGAGTAAAATTATTGTCAATTTAGAAATATTTCAGTCGAAAATATTTCAAGTGAAATATTTCAAACTCAAATCCCTAAGTAATACAAAGCGAAAGTTTCTACACGGTACTAAAAATATTAGCCATGATAATATTGTAAAAATATACTTTTTGACTTTTTGTAAATAATATTTTTACACCATGTCTTAATTGTTATTAAAATAGAACTAGAATTTTAAAAAATTTAATTTTTTAACCATTTTTATCGCTATAATTTTTAATTTTTAGATTTAGTTTTGCAATAATCAACTGCAATAGAAACTTTCAAATTATCTCTAAAAAAATGTACTAAAATAATTTCAAAAGTTTCTATTACAGTTGACTACTGCAAGACAAATTCTAAAAATTTCATAAAATGTTTTTAAAAATGTAATCACAAAGTAATTTTACCATATCTGAAATCGTTCCTGTATGAAATCGATGTATTTCCGTAGCATTTTTTTACGCATTTGTGATTTCTTTCTGGTTGACCGCTACAAGAATTGTTTGCCGAGCACGGCGGAAACATGTACGGTTGACATCCCTGAAACCGGTTTCAATATTTTACTGTAGGTTGAAATTATTATGATTATCATCTCGATACGTAACGTTCACTAAATTGAATTGGGTGGGACCATTTTCCTCCAATAGGTATTAATTGTGCAGATTGGTTTAAATTTTTATTTCAAAAACTTGTTTTACTTAAATTATGTCCATGTTAAAATATTTGGCCATCGTCACAGTGTTATAGTCCACGGAAAAGTTGTTTATAATCAAAAATACGATAAATAATATGCAGATGAAATGGATTATTATACATAATATACCTAACTAAAAATGTGTTTATAACATTGATTTATGTTTTAACAACAAACAGCTATTACAATTACATAATGTTTGTTTTTTTTTTTTTTTTAAGTCAGATCATTAACTCAAACAAATTTTACTTCCAATTTATGAAGAAACTATGATATAAATTTTAAAACATTTTCCATACTGTATTTATTATTTTTACACTCGTTATATTTAATTATTTTTAATTATTTTTATTGCTAATCGACATAAATTGTTCTGGTTTTACTTGACCTAATTTACCAAATCAATATAAATAAATAAACTAACTTTTGTTCCTGTTTTATTAAGTTTTAACACTCAATTTTTGCTTATTGACATTTTTGGTTACTGTCTATTTTGGTATTTTGCCATGGACACATTTAACTTTGGTCAATTTCACTGGGAATATTCACTGGTTACAGAAATATCAAATACAGGCATTCTTGATTTTTATCTTAAAGACAACTAGAAATATGTCTTAGCTCAAAACACAAAAGCAAAATATGGATAATCATGATATCAATGTTGTATAAATACACAATATATTTTGTTGATGTTAAATTAATATGATTTATGACGTAAAAATATATTTATTAGATTCTTGAACCCGTGATGGATTAAAACGATCGATTTTTTTAAAGGTGGACAGTAGAGGAAAATGGTACATATTATTATTTGTGGGAAATGGATACAGTCACCAATTTAAGTTATTTTAGTTCGAACCATGTATAATGTTATAATGATAAATATTGTCATCTACGTTTTTTATTATTATATTGTTTTACTTCAAACGAGTTAAAGTGTCCTCCGGTGACCAGACCTTTTTGGCTGTAATATCGCCAAGCTCTGATCGGGTAACCTCCTTGGCAACCTAAACCGCATCGGCGACAACAGGAAGTCACTTGTTCAGCCGATAACAGTTGATTGAATTTTCCGTTCGAAGCTATACACAAACGATCGGCGAACGCTCCAGAAGTGCTGAACGCCTAGCGTGGTCGGAAGAGGAAAATTGAGAGGATAATATTGTTAATACACATTCTGCCAAAATAGTTGAATCAAATTATCGTCTAAAATATTATTTACCCAACAAGAGCCGCAATTGCCTTGATCGCGAATTGTCCCAATCGTCGTACAGTTTTTCCATCGTTTTCTCGCGTCAAATTCTTTCGGAATACTTTCAGTGGGCTTGTACAGTGGGTCGTGCAATTTAAACGGACCCGTGTACGAGACGCCCACGCCTTTTGAGCCCAAAAGTCCCAATATGAACTTCAAAGGTGTTTCCGGATGAAAGTTGATGCCAGCCTGAATGATACAATGTCAACAATAACAATAAGAGTATTAAAAATTATGGAGTATTGTACATACTGTGCATATTGATAACTAGGAAAACCATAAAAAATAACGACATTTCCTGAAAACGATATCTTTTTAACAAAATAATGACCTTGAGAAAAATGGTTTTATATTTACGAAACAACGACTGTGATAGGAAAACGACGTTTTGGATTTCATAATTTACAACATTTCTTCGACTTACCTGAACTAACAATAATATTAAAACTAAATACAACATTTTAAAACACACAATAAATAAAAAGCAAGCTTGAAATAAATGGGATATCACCAAGTATCTTCAACTGACCAATAAGTTGTTATTTATAATACCCTCTATTTATATAATATAATAATATATATATTTTGCACTTGGCACATGATTTACATTGTTCGAACTACTCTCTAAACTTTTATAATATCTCTGAAAATTAGGAATGTGAGGCTGTACATTTACCAGGTTCAATTTGACTCTTAAACAATTTCACTGGACAATTATTTTTTTCCCAAAATAATGTTGTGTGATCCATCTAATAGAATGTAATTAAAAACGCCTTTATCGATTGTACTATGAATAATTAAATATTCATTATATGCTCTGATATAGAACAATAGATATATTTTTAGTTATTTGTTGTCATTATTGGATAGAACAATATTTGTCAAGGATACAAAAGTAGAAATGACAACCGTGTTTGCTAATAAAAATATGATCTACTCTTGAGATTTTTATTATCTAGCTTTAGATTCTATTTAATACATTTTATCATTTTTTTGATAAATTTACCTATGTTTTGTTATGATGGTTAAACTTTGGAATTTTTATATTTCATAATCATAACTAACCTAACTTTTGATTTGGTCTTAACTTGTGTTGATTATTTGTATTAACATGTGACAAATTGGGCACAACTAAGATTTAATTCTAAAGTTCGAATTTCTTCGAGTCATATTTATATGTTTTTTGTTGATCCGAGTTTCATATCACCACAAATAATTTGTGGATTTTATAAGGACGATTTAAATAATCATAAACTAAAACTTCACAGAGACATGTTTCATGATATAATTAAAGGCCAAGGCTTAAACGTATCATTATTTTCAGATGTAATAAAGATTGTTGAAGATAAACCACACTTAGTCATTTATTTAACCGAGCTCAAAAAATAGGTATGATTGATATTGACAATACCAGTCACAACATGTATTACCGAAAGATGTTTTTCGACGTTAAGAAGTTTAATAAATTACATGATGAGTACTATGACACAACAACGTTTGAATTATTTGGCAGTTCCTAATAATTACCACATAGCAATAATTGTAGAATTTTCGGACCAACGAAAAATAAGAAATACTTTAATGAACAAGTGTTCTACAAGAAAAAATACTTTTGCGATAAAATAAATGTACAAATGATGTATTGTATTAAATCATAAAACAATATATTTTCATGTAAATAATTTTAACTAAAACCAATGCACTAATATCTTGAAGTCAGCGACTACGTATTACATGCCCAATTGTGATTATCACGTCCGCTGTATAAACGTGATCGATATTTAAAGATCTAGTTGGCACTATGAGGGTTGGTCAAAAGTAAAAATTTGGACTATGCTGTAAAGTAGGTAGGTGTGCAGATGAATCAATGTAATTTATGTGAAATTTGAATTCAATGATATGAAAACATTATTATACAACAGTTCTGATTGAAGGCTGTCTGTCTGTTTACAATACTATGAGCATATATGATATACCATATATTATCATATGTATGATATTATTTCTATTGATTTTACGATCAGTATAACAGTGGGTTGAATACAATTTTTGCTGAAAACATTAATTTTAAAAATATTATTAATTGATAACTGTCTCTAAATCTGAATCTAAAGAATCATCACATTATTTTGTGTAATTGACGTAACCTCACAAGGTAAATGTTATCATTTAATATAATCATTGTCACTTGTCATTATAATATAATCATCTAACCTCACCGATTGTTTGAAATGTTCAATCATAAGCAGCTTTAAGAACTAAACATTATTTTAAATTTTCAACTACAAACAAATTGGCAAATGTCCATGGTTTTGATGAATTTGGTCGACATTTGAATTTAAAGCTTTTAAAAAAAAACTGTGATCGTGTATCTTTAATGTCTTCAGCTGTTAATATTTAAACGTATGTGAAACCTCACATTACATTGTCAAGCATTTTGACGACCCGGTGAAAATGTTATTATTTACAGTATTTACACTCATCACTATAAAATGAAAATAAAATCAATTCGAAAAAATATTACATCAGTTTTTACACTTCTTAATGTTGTTCATTCTAAATAATATATCAATATAAAATATAAACAAGTTGATAATTATTGCACCTAAATTGCATATATATATATATATATATCATGGGTAATATTTATAATATTTATTTAATGATAAGGAACTGTACGATACCGTCATCTCACAATAATTATTTTTTATCTCTGGTGAATATCAAAAAACATTGTACCTGTAAGTACTGTCATACCTTTGTGGACATAACGTTTATTAAATGTATTTTGTTTTCAGTTAAAAGCTTATGAGTACGGCTAAAGTCACGTCTATAATTACATCTGTAATCTTAATATATAATATGACGTTTACGAAGTGATTTTTTAAGCATGCTCACTCTATGTTTATAATTTATGGTTAGGTACGCATTCAAATTCGAATGTTTGAAAGTTTTAAATACAACTCAACACCAGATTTTCGCACAACTTAAAGATGATCCTGTGACTAAATCATTTTTTGTTTATCAATGATCGACCCTCTTACCTAACTTAATGCGAAACACAGGCACACACAATGAGTAAAAACAGTGCCTATCTCCGACTGACCGATAAATTGTTTTTTTATAACATCAGATAATCGCTGGAGGTGGATGAATATATCAATACCTATCTATTTTATAATAATGGGAAAAATGCCATTTGGCACGAATGATGAAAACTCAAAAAAAAATATTACAGGCATATAATATTATGAAAACACTATTCGTTATAGTATTTTGAATTGTATAATTCGCACTCAAAGTTTGTAAAATATAATATTAATATAATATGCACTAACAGTTACTAACATTGAATTGAAAATTCCGAAAAAAATTCTCTAAAAAAAGATAAAAACCGAAAATGTCAAAATATGCAAAACACAATCAGTAAGTACATATCTTTGAAGTGTTCGTTACGTTATATATGAATTCGGTAATATTGTAATGCATCCTTAGAGTACTCAAAACAGCAGTGCATTTCCCGCTGAATTTCTGGTCGTGTTGACTGCAATACAACTTCGTTTGAGAATTTTTGAATTGATGACAAATAACAAAATCACATCGATAATAGAATATTATAATCATTAACAGCCCACATAATAAAACTATAATCGCAGTTATGACTAATCGTGTTGCCGCGAGAGTGTATATGACCTAACCGTAAGTTAATAAAATATAACTGCGTCTATTTACTTATTTTAAGACATTAATCGCCAGATTATTTTTATCGACGGTGTATTACAATATTAAAACGTGACTAAGTACTACTATTGTAAACAGGTTGCTTAGAAAACCGTTTTCAACTTAGTCATACGTTTTCATAACGCGCATTTAGATTTTGGACTGCACATATAATTTAAAGATATTCTTAAAGGACTCGCTTTTGCATTGCACTCGGCTACCTACCGACATTAACAGACAACGGACGATGTAAGCTAAATTGATAAAAAAAATGCATACAGTTTACATTGTAGAAGTACATACATTAGGCAATGTTAATGTTTTAAAAAAAAATTAATGAATACAATTTACACATTTTTACACTCGGTCCGCATAGTAAGCTGTAGTATATCTTTTCGTCCAGTTAATGATTTGAGTTTGACTTTCCTGTACTACTCAGAGAGGGGCATCCCCAATTTATAATAAACATTCTATGAAATCAAAAGTATATAAAAATATCATAAATCAATGAATACCAACATCGAAATTTCTCGTGACGATACTTATTCGACATTGATATTTGAGTAAAAAAAAAAATTAATATCTTATATTGTTATCAACATTTTAATATATTTATAAATTCTCATAAGCTGATTTAATTTATTTTTTTTACACAATCTGTCATATTACACATTTTCATTGTAGAAATCATTTAAATGTACCAAATTCTAATTTGATTATCTATTAATTTATTTGATTAGTTTAATTGCAAAGCACTCGTCGGTGGTGTTTATATGAGTATATGACTATTCCTATATTATTCCAGACTCTGGAAATTCGTCGTTTTACGAGAAAGTGTATTTTTTTTTTTTAATTTCCTAGTCACTTTGAGAGCAATAACACGAAGTTCAATTTTTGTTTTTAAGTGTGGTTTCTTGTTGTACATTTAGTGTATTGATTAAAATACAATATTTTTCAGTATAGTAAGACTCCGATGATATGAACGATAATATATGATGTATGACGTAACGATGATGTACTCTTAAGTTTTAAGCGATAATCGAGGAAAATTATTTTATTTTGTTGTTATAATTCAAAAATAAATATAACTGAATACTTAAACATTTCAATGAATATTTATGTTACACATGACATATTATAATTTTCAAAATATTTTAATTGTTTTTGAGCTATAAGTTATAACTGTTTAGTTTGAAATCGTAAATACTTAATAGTTTTTTTTTTTCAACTTATGTTGATAAAATAGATTTAATATTTATAACAAAAATTCTTCATAAGTTACTGCAACTAAAAAATATGAAAATTCAATTCTATCTGATGAGTTTTTGAAGTTTAAATTTACAGAAGTCGTCAATGTTTTAAAATGTTGCTAATTATATTTTTGTAATTGAAATGCATACAATTTTCAATTCTAACATTTGAAATTCCTCATAAGTTTTCTCACAGAAGTCTAAAAATATAAAAACAAACTACAGCAAGAAACATTATTTTTGTATACCACTGAAGTTCAAATCTTGATGAAATTGGATATTGAACGTAAAATAAGATTTTTCCATTTACGATTTATGATATTTTCTTGTAATTTAAACTCTCTGCCATTATTTATATCTATTATTATCATCTATTTACGATGACATTTTAAACATGTTGAGAGTATTATATTATGTTATCTACACTGCAGACCTATTCTAAGGTACGTTGCAGTATTGACAGTTGACTCGGGACATTAATAAAAACAATAGAATATGTGTAATATTGAATATTAAAATGCACTTTAATTCTTTCCAAATGCTTAATTTGCCTTAATTTTGATATTGCATCTCGCGGATTAAACTAAAAAAGTTCACTTATTTTTCGCTCCTCTAATTATTAAGAACTTAATGAATCTATATTAAAATTCATTATATACCGACTTATGTCTTTTGTCAGTAGGTACTTATAAGTTCTTCTTTCTTTTGTTTTTAAAATTGTTTTTCTTCGTATTAATTTAACCTGCAATTATCTGCACTGCGTAGTTACTTGTCTTGCCTTAATTATTTTTTGTAGTAAATCGTTTTTATATTATTGAACGTGAGGTCGTAATATCTTTGCAAAATACATTATAATTTCACCAACGGAAACATCCGAATAGTGGACAAAATTTCAGCGACCCAGAGTAGTCCAGTGCTTAAAGGTTTCACTGTAGTAGGTACTTTATTATAAATAGAATTCCGTTGCAAGTTTGTTTGTTAATTTAAATATTTATAAATAGCCAATATAAATACAATATTATTACAAAATATATTATTTTGATTTTTTTGGAAAAATGGAAAAAATCGTTTCAACATATTAACATTGTACCGTATTACCGAGGTAAAAATCAATCACTCGTAATGATATTTATTAATTATAAAATATCATCAGAAGTAGATACTCACCCGACATTTTCACTCATAATTTTTCTGTCGTTCTCAACGAATCTGTCGTTGAAATCTAATTAAACACATATATTACTGCAGTGATGAAGTACGCACTTCACCCTTAACAGATGAGTGATAGATCGAGCAAAATTCAGTTTTCTTAAAATCCAAAGTTCAACTAAAAAAATGTCACTTTATTTTGCTCCAACAATTATAAGTTATGACCCCCAATAACCTATGCATTATACCGCATTATTTATGTATATTTCCAGAAACTACGTTCTTCTTCCTTTTGTTTTTAAAATTGGTTTTCTTTTATATTTAATTTAATCTGCATTTTGCAGTGCATGATACTTGCTTTTTCTCTTTGTGCGATTCGTGTTAAATTGGTTATTATTGAAAATGACGCCATAATATCTTCATAATGAATCGCGAGGACAATATATAACACATCCCCCCTTCTTAACTATTTTTAGTGGAGGTAGGACATTTTCTTCAGGTGCATTTTTGAATGCACAAATTCCATCCGTAATTTTTTTGAAATGACTTCTGGTATGTAATTTTTTTTTTTGACAGAATAAATTTCCATATACAGTAGAACCTCGATAAGTCGACAACTTCGATTACTCGAAAAAAAAAACTATTCTGTGCTATGAATATAGACGGATAATGACTGATTATCTTTGCCTAATCGGCTAGTCCGTTCCGATAATTAGATAATTTATAAATTGATAATAGCAAATCTCAAATTTTCAATGTAAAATAGTAAATTTTCTATTATAAAGTTGCAACACATGTTTTATTATATTTTATTCGTGATATTTTTTTAAAATTTAAATAGCCCATATAATCACATTTTTCACATTATATATAATAATTAAAAACTTTAATATCGACCTACATACATTTTAAAAACTCTAAGTCAAATTTTTGTTTGCTTAAGAAAAAAATAGAAAATACTTAATAATGATTGAAACAAATCAAACAAAAACTAAACATTTCATGCACACTTTTTTTATGTGGGTCTTGTAATTATTATTTTTGTTAAAGTCTTAGACCAATAGTTGTCAATCGAACACAAAACACTTAGTGACAACTGACAATATGTAGTATTACAACAATATAATAATATGAATAATATTATCACTATCGTTATTATAATAATTATCACAATATTATTGTTATTATTAATAAAATACATAATATTACGAGTTTTCAATACTATTATCACATTTACCGTAGTTTATAATGTGACTATAGCCTAATTCTACCTCTGTCGGTAGTCATGTACCTAATTCTAGCACAAAAAATGAATAAAATTGAAAAATTGAATATCAATCATCATTATATTATTTTATATTCTCAATATCGTATTCATATAAAAATGTTCAAGCTTACAGCTCTCTAATTACTCACTTATAGTTAGGTAGTTTTATTTCGATCGGCCAATTAATTATTTTCAATGGGCAGCAGGTAAACAAAATATAATATTAGCACGCAATTTGAACAACAATTAAAACAAATTAGAAGGTCTACTGTCGAGTAGAATTGTAGTTTTTAACCATTATAATAATACCAAAAAAAAAAAAAACTTTAAGAGTTATGATATACACTATATAGAACTCCGATTATCCGAGAATCAACCGGACGAAAAAAAAGGTTTGGTCTTCGAATAACTCGTAAATCGTAATCGTATTTTCGTCGTTTCGTTTTCAGTTGAATATAATAGTAAAACGATTTGTTTATTGTTAAAAATTAAAAACCCTATTGCATACACATAAGTAATAAATGCATACCTACAATGTATTCATACAACTGCTATGTAACTTTGGATGTGTCATATTATGCCAACCATCCGGATATTTGCTTACCCGAACCGCCTTTGACATTAATTGGTCCGGATAATCGCGGTTCTACCGTAATTCCATATAGCTAAGTCTTTCAGTTTTAGATAATATAATTTGTGTAGCTCGGCGGTTCATACCCACTTTGCCGAATCCCAATTCACCGACAACTCAATTTGCCGACAAATATACCAGTTTTAAAATATTTTTAAAATATTCCCTTTTCGCCGACAGTCTAGTTTGCCGACGTCTCGGTTCACCGACAAATTATTAATAAAGTTTTCATTTTCCCGATTCGCCGACAGTTGACAATGATCTTATCACATATTTGTGTTGATAACTGAAATAAAAAATCAACAACAAAATTTTGAACTTGATCTACAAGCCTAGAAAAACGGTAATCTAAAACCACTAACTAAAATGAAATTTCGAAAGCTTGAAGAAAGATTAAAAAATGCAAAGGATAGGTAAATATTATAAAATAATTAATTTTTACATGTATAATAGTTGTTATATAATTAGTTTTTATTTTTTTTAGATTGAAATCAGAAGAAATCTCTTTAATAGAGTATGTCGATATAATAAAATATCATATAATCATACAATAATTTTATAACTTTTTTTATTTATATTTACTTTTTTATATATATATATAACATATCTTATATTTTATACATGAATAATATTTATACTTACTTTACTTTTATTTTATATATAATAATTAAATAATGTATCTACTGACTTAATGGATTAATAATCATTTATACATGATACATTTGTATTTATTTTTATTTTTTAATAAGTCGGCGAATTGGGAGTCGGCAAATTGGGAACATGTAAATAAATAGTCGGCGAACTGAGGTGTCGGCGAATTGAAAGTCGGCAAACTGGGATGTCGGCGAATTGGGATTCGGCAAATTGGGTTTCGGCGACGTGGGAAGACACGAGCTCGGCGACTTTGAACTAATTACTTATTGAGTAACGCCTCGTGCTATTTCAATGACAGTAGACTAAATTATTATTATTATGTACTCGTGGTATTTTTTAATATTTAATTCAAGTCACCGAGCTAAGTTCAATAAAATTGCAGTCAGCAGACTAGTTTGAGCTCGAATGGTATCGAAAATTCATAGATTGAAACGATAGCACCACTTTCAGAGCTATTTTTTTCAAGCGGACAATGATGGTAGAATGCATTTGTTGGGATATCACTAATTTTTTGTTGCTGTGTTATTATTATATTATAATATGTTGTGTACAGTTTTTAAGATTATTTACCTATCTGCGAAAATTAAAAACAATAGTGAAGCCAGAATCAATTGATTCACTTTAGTTTTTACACTCTTTACAATCATTTCTTTTTATGATTATTTTATGAAATAACTAAAATTTGTTTTTTGTTTTTGTCCATCTAATATGTTGTACGATAAAAAGCGAATCGCATCATTTCGATTGCCCAGCTGTTCGTGAAAATCGGTAAACAAAATATTTAAGCGAATATTAAAACAAATCAGGTGGTTTACCGCATGCAGAATTGTAGTTTCCTAACGATGCTAATAATATTATTATTATAATATACGCAGTGCCGTTACCTTCCAAGTCTTCGCGACACTATTGATTGTGCTTATGTAGTCTTTATTCAGGAAATATGTTTGTTCCGACGCGTAAACACTTAAGAAAAACACGAAAACCGTACAGCTCGAAAATGATATTGTGTTCATCTCGACAAGTATACGGTTTATTTTCATTCTTGAATTTAAATTGGAAACGCTCTTGCCGCGAGATTGTCCCTCGTACGAAATATCACATTATAACTGACATGTGTACAAACTGTTATGGTTGAAGAAGCCGCCCGGAGGGTCTGCGCGATAATATTATTTGTTTATTATTATCCGACGTATCATATAATATTATTACAGTGTACTACGACGACGGTTCAAGTACAAAACGATGAGTTTCAATTTTTTTTCCTCTTACACATAATGACACAATAAACATTCTGTTGCACATGTTAGACAATATTATCCACTCACGGTTACCTACATTTCTTTCAATTACATTAAATGTGTCATTCGAGTTTTATTCTTTTTTTTTTTATTATTGAACTTAAGCCCGGCGACAAAGGCCATTAGCTGTTGTAGGGGTTATGAACTATGGTAGGGGTAAGGTTGGTACGATAAGTTGTTTTTACGATTGTTACGGTTGTTATGGTAGGTAGCAAACACGTGTATGTGTGGCAAGGTTTTTAACTACTACGAACCCGGGTGGTCACCCATCCAGGAACTAGTAGCTGTGGTCGTTACTTACTCCCAGTCGCATTTCGCGACTGGTAGCAGCCAACGCGCCACGCCGAGCCACAGTTTTATTCTGTAATCTGTTTCTTTACACAGCACTCGGTAAAAATATAGAGTGTAAACGTGTTAGCCGGCGGCATGATCTGGGTGGTGTATCCATGACCCTCCCCCCCCCAGCTATTTATATTTTATTTTTTAGACGATTTCAGTTCTGTATTTTCGTCGTGCGTTCAGTGTTCACTTTTATATTCGTATACGACATGCGCAGTCCACCCCTCATAATCTCGTTATAATACAGAGTTCATTTTACTACAGTTTAAATTTTTTTTTTTTATTGTAAGAAAACAAAGACTCTCGGCTACATGGGCCAATGGGCCTACAGAAGTTATGGTTTTACAGCTTAAATTGTTATCATCAAAGCTAAATGGTCATTCGACAGAGCAAAGATGTCCTCACGAGAGACATCCATCATGTGGTTGTGGATGAAATGTTGAAAAATGGCCCGGAAACGAGGAATAATGGAAATTATGTTGTGACATAAAAAATAAGACAAAGAATTAGAAAATTAAAAATTGTAAGACAAGTATCAAATCACATGTTGATTGGTATACGTCAATTGCGCAGGAAGATATTGAAGTGCAATAAAAGGTTATGCACCGACTATATTGGATGATATTATTGTGAAGTACCAAACATTTTATGATTCAATTAAATGTAAAAGTTAAAAAATAGACTATAATTTGTGAAATCAGTAAACTTAGATCTGAGATTCATTTTTTTCAATACTAAGTGTATAAGGTCTTATTCTCTTTCGATTATTTGAACTAAAACAGTTTAGAACTTGAGCACGACGTATTGTTCTGAACAAATTTAAAAATGGATTTTATTTATATTTTTTATACTTGTCGTTATTTTTTTTAACATTTACACGTTTTGTACTTTTAATTTAAATATCTAAAAATATTAAAGTGAATATTTTCTTTATAATATTTTTCTGGCGAAATCGATGTTAACCTTTTAATTTGTGATAAATCCATCTGTGCAAAAGGTGTTTATATTAGTTCGTGTAGTCTAGAAAAATCGAAACGCAATTTACGAACCACCGATGTTCAAAACGGTGACACGTTTTAATCAAAAATATAGCCTTTATATAAATACGAATTAAACAAATTAAATATAATTGAATTCTGACTTTGGTAATATTTCACTTGAAATCAACGTTTAGGTGAAGAGCATATATTTTTTTAAATTGCAGTATTATTCACACGAATGAATTATTTTACAAAAGTCTCATTAAATATTTCTAGAGAATAAAATATGTCATCAGATTTTATAACTCAGAGTAATATAACGAATATAGAAACCAGAAAATAAATTCTGATTTTTCGGAACCAATTCGGTTACACTTAAGTATAATGATGTTGAGTCTAAGGCCGTTAAACCAATATGCGAAAACATCGTGGGTCACATGTTCGAGAGGCTGCGCTACCTCCACAATGAGGATCCTATGGAAAAATGTATTAGTATTTCGACGGAGTGATGCCTGTTCCATTAGCGAAATTTGGCAAATGTTTTGGATTATTACTTTTTCGTGTGTACCCTCCACGCACTACCTATCTGTTTTTTTAATACTGTTATGATTTCAGTGTTCGTCAAAACAAAAAAAAAAAAATAATAATAATAATAAAATAAGTAAAATCCGTCGGATATAGAAATTGTATTTTTTAAAGTGCTCCTTTATGCGATCGCAGTCGAGCCGTAGTTATTAATCATAATATACTCGAATAATACAAACAACACTCGAGACTCGTTGTGTGCTTTAAGCCCACGTGTTATGATGAAAAAATAAAATACACGGCAATAATATACACGTCGAATACTAGTTTTAATAATTTTTATCATAAACACGAAGTCCATAGTTAAGTCGTCAGAAATAATAACTTCCAACTAGATTTACGCAACAATATTATGATTTATGAAACCGTTTGTGTTAATTAGTCTTCAGTGTGGGAAAATATAAACCGTTTTCATTGAGAGGCGAAAAACTGATATTTGTTTGCACATTTCGTCGGTAACAGCCGCCTCAATGGACTGGTCGGTATAATAATATCGTAATATGAAATTTTAAGAAAATAATATTACTATCGATCGCTTACAATAATATTTTAGTGTACTGTGTAAGTTATGTTGCAACTTACTTGTGTTCGTCGTATAAGAATAAAATATCCCAACGCGGTCGGACATATTTTCTATAGTACTATTTATTTTCAAAATTGAATTGATGCTTACATAAATGGAGATGGCTGGTTCACCGAGCACGCAACATTATAATTGAACAAATAATTTACCAAACAAAATGTGTGATTAATGGACGGTAAATGTAAACATTATAAATTCATAAAGTTAAATCTAAATTTAATATACTGTGCAAGATAGTTTTGAAGTACAATCAGCCCCCCCCCCCAATATTTTTCCTTCAATATTATACATTTTGTTCAGTATATGTTTTTAGAATTTTTCAGCATGCCTAAAAATCATATTATTAAGTTCCTGATTTTTTTCTACTGCATGGAGTGTCTTGTGGTGATACAAACTTATACTTTCCAAATGAGAACACCCCTTTTTTCTGAAAAATTATTTATTCGATAGTTTTCTTGGAAACGTTAATGCGATTTAGTCTACTTTGAGTAGATTCCGGTGTAGTTTCTGAGTTATTAAAATGTTAGTACAAAGGATTATAATCATTAAATGTAGTATTTATTTTACTTTACCAATTTTTACAATTTATTCATTATGATAGATTAATATATAATTATTATATTACTTTTCACTAACATTTCCAATTCATCTAATCCCCCATATCTTTATTACGATAAGTATTATTAAAATATCTACTTAAGATCGTCGGAGCCTGTGCGTTTTTTACTAAAAAAACTATTGCACCTTGCAAAAAGCCGGTAAATAAACCTGTGATATTTTTCTTTTATTTAAGAGAAGAGAACTTTTTGCAGGTCGTACAGGCTATGATCAGACCAGAATAAAGTAAGTTATCTTTCAGGTAAAAAAAATATCAGAATTCGACCTATCAACGAGGCGTAATAGTTTATCTTGTAAAGTAATTTTTGTTGATATACGAGTAATACATCGTATCTTCCCTTCTACAATAAATAGGTATCGGACAGTTGTAGATAAGTGGACAACTGGAATTATAATTAAATAGTAATTAAAATATAAAATATAATTTTAAAGTGTTATAAAATTGATGGGAATATTGGAAAAATCAGATCAGACACCATTTACCATAGACATATACCGTAAAGCACACACTTATGCAACGCACTACAACTAGGTACTCGTTTAAATGTTGGTTTAGGTAAATAGCGATCTTCAGATGGTTTTAAAAATTATTCTGAAAATCAATGTTCGAATATATGCAAAATGTTAGCATAAACATAGAGCACCTGTACAATTAGTTAAGTGATAATTTTCTTGTCGGTTGAGTAGTTGTCTACACAAAAATGTTAATGATTTTCTAAGGATATTTTTGCGTTGAGGATACATTCTTTTGGGGAATGAAAAGGAAAAATACGATATACAACCGCATACAAATCCTTTCTTTAATTGTTATAATAATATATCATGTTATATTTTATCCTTGGATTCTCCGAGGACAAGAGTAGACTGCCCCATCGGGACGCATCCACTGTCGGAATCCTGACAGTCTGGTGCATTTTATCTGACCTGTAGGTCACATCGTAACTATAACAACGTGGTCGCATGGTCGTCGAGCAATCCATCGACAGCTATAATCCTCTTCACCTCGATTCCAGAACTGACAATGGTTCTAGGAGTAGTTCGCTTTTCGCGACACTGATAAATGAACAGTTTTATGGCATATCCACTGCATGATCCGCTCCCAAGAATGGTCAAAGAAGTCATCTAATGATTACGTAACATGTTATGACTCATTTGAAGAACAATTAAAATTAAATACCTTGGTATAGAATAATATTATCGTATTACAGTGGGTTCCGCTTAATGTGATCACTTTGGTGCAGGTCATTTTGATTCTATCAACCGGTTGATTCTATAAAACATTTACAACATTTTTTTCATGATTCAATATTTTTATACAATTACATATTTATTTATAATCACATACTTAATGTAACATACATAATAAATGACACAAGTAAATGACGCACAAAGATGATTATTGAATGACATAATAACGTACAACGAAATACTGTCATACTAATAAGTTCAAAAATAAAATGGGTTCTATAAGTTAATCAGTTTGAAATACCATAAAAACGTTAAGATTGTTCATAAAAGTGATTCAATTATCCAGTACTTAGTGATTCTAATAAAAGGTCAATTTTACATTAGTAACATACAATTTGGTTTGGGATTTTCGTTTTTGATTCTAAAAAACGGTTGATTCTATAAACCAGTGATCACATTAAGCGGAACTCACTGTA